AAACTTGAAACAACCTCACTGTTAATTTCTTCTGTCTGAATTTTTACAGGTTTAACCAGTTTTTCTAAAGCTGTCATCCTGGCACTTAAATTGACTATCTTTTTTAATTGTAAAATGAGGATAGGGATAGTGATAAACTGCATAACTCCAACAATACTAATCTTCTCATATAGTTGTTCCATTGTCAGACTGCCTAAAGTTTCAAACAAAACCCAGTTTTCTTCCAATGTACACATAAAACCCATTTTTTTTAATGTGGAAAAAATTTCTCTTTTAAATAGTTTCCTTTAAAATATCTGATATGTTATGACTTACCAAATCTGCGTAGAACAGTAGAAATCCGAGGAAATTTCAAAACAGCCACCTAGTGTCTGAGGTGTAAATCCAGAGAGAGAGAGAGAGAGAGATAGAGAGAGAGAGAGAGAAAGCATAACCAGCTAAAGCTTAAATCCAGCCACGTGCTTTCTCTTGAGCCAAATCAAGGCTTGGCTCTGGCTTCCTTAAGCTCTGACCACGTGCGTTGGCTTTACAGGCAGGGGCCCTTTTTGGCAGGGCAGGCCTGTGTTGTTTGTAGCACCAGCTTTAAGCAAGCACCTCACAGTTAGTCTGGCCTGAGTCCAAGCAGACCAGGGCCCGGGCTAGTAAGCTGGCTGCTTGGACTAGGGAGCCAGCTGCCCTGGGGCTAGGGACCTGGTCCTTGCGGGGAAACTGGACCTTCCGCCAAGCCAAGCGGTTTTTAATGGATTCTTGTTGATGTAACCAACTGTCTTATTAAATAAGAAACAGAACCAATGTAAAAGAGAAAGCCAAGAGGTCAGAGCTCAGAGCTAAAATCTCAGCCTTCCTCCTATGGTGGTCCTAGCTTCCTGAAAGAGACCTATTTCCTGTGTGTATGTCTTTTCATAGTCTTTTGTTCTGCCTTCTCATTGGTTGTAAACTCAAACACATGACTGCCTCATCACTGTCTGTATGTACAACCCCCCAGGTCTTAAAGGCATATGTCTCCAATGCTGGCTGTATCTCTGTACACACAGAGATCTACCTAGCTCTTCTACTAAGTGCTGGGATTATAGGCGTGTGCCACCACCGCCACACTCTTGCTATGGCTCTAATAGCTCTGACCCCCGGGCAACTTTATTTATTAACATACAATCAAAATCACATTTCAGTACAATTAGAATACCACCACATGC